TAAAGGATTCTCTGCATCTTGGGGTCTTCAAAGTATTGGAAGGCTTCAGTATCTGAGATATAGGTGAGAGGATTATTCTAGGAGAGGTGGGTGAGATTTTGTGGCCTGCACTGTGCAGGGGGTCAGACTAGATGATCATAATGGTCCCTTCTGACCTTAAAGTCTATGAGTCTATGAGGACACGGGCAGCGGGACCGCGGCGCGTCTGGGAGGTCCCGCCGCCCGCGTCCTCCGGGGCGAGAAAAGCCCTGTTCGTAAGTACAGATCCGACGTATATTCGCCCGTTTTACAAATAGGAAACTAAGGCCAAGGTAGAGTAGTGGTTTTCTAAAGTCATTAGAGTCCGGATCAGCTAGGTCCCAAGAAAACTCCTGGCCTGTACACAGGAGTTTCGGGAGGCGCGGGGGGGAGGAGGGGAGTTGCTTTTTTTGGTAAATGTGGACCACAATTTTTTTTAAATATAAAGGAGTTCAAAATAGTCCTGCAATGAGCGTGACAGAGAGAGGTTAATGAAACATTTGAGTGAAAACAGTGATTAGTAAAATGATTTTGTTGCAACACACTAAAAACGTACACCGTAATAAAGTTTTTATAGAAATTACCTACTGGGATCATGGCAGGCAGTCTAGCTGCCACGGCCCCCTCTGCTCACTCAGCCACCCCTGCCTGCTGCTCCTCTACCTGCTTGATGAGGCCAGCGCAGGGTGTGTGAGGACAAAGTTTCCAGCCAGCAGGGGCAGGCTCAGGCTGTTCCTCGCGGGTGGAGGGCACCTTTCCCCCAGCCCCACCTGCCCATCCCCCCACAACACAGTGTTCTCCCATCCCCCTAACACAGGGGCTCTCAAACTTTTTGGCTCGTGGCCCACCTGGCTCAATGCAAACCTCTCTGTGGACCACCAGTTGCTAATGGAAACTTGCCGTTAATTACATCATTACACCTGATTCATTTTGCTAGGGCTGCAGCTACGGAGAATGGTTGAATTTAAATTGAAGTGACTAAGCGCTTTAACTTTCTCATGTTAGTTTATCAAACGTCATTTTCAATAAAGTAAAATATTAATTTGTGTCCAACACAAAAGGTTCCCATGTTTTCTTTATTTACGGCAGGAGTGCGGGAACTTTTTTGGGTCAGGTGCCACAGACACCAAGAAAAATCAGTAGGGGACAAATGAGAAGCAAAACCAGTAGATGTTTTGGGCTCCCTGAGGTGGGACCAAAAATGAGAGGTTCAGTGTGCAAGAGGGAGCTACCAGGGAGCAGGATAGGGATGGGGGAGCAGGGTACGGGCGGGAGGTGGGGTTCAGGAGGAGGTGAGGGTGCGAGGTAGGGTGCAGGAGCAAGCGGGGAGTAGAGTGTCTGGCCAGGGAGGAGGATGCACGAGCTGGCTGGGGATAAGGTATCTGGCTGGGTGTGTATGCAGGAGTGGGCTGGGAATGCGGAATCTCAGCTGAGGGGCTGGATGAGGGGGCTGGGGGCGCAGGCACTTATTTGCCTTTGCGTCCTGCGCCAGTCTCAGGCATGGCCTTCCGCTTCTCCCATTGCTCAGATTCCAGCTGGGGAGGGGGGAGCGCTTCTTCCCCATGAGCTGGGATCTCTCCACAACCCCCACCCCACCCCACAGTGGGAAACCGACGCTGGCGCTCCAACCACGTGGGGGGGGAGGAGGAGAGAAGGCAAGACTGGAGCGCCAGTGCAGGCTCGCCACAGTGGGACCGAGCTTGAGCCGCAGAGCCCTCCTCATGCTTACTTGGGGGATCATGGGGGTGCATTTGCACCCCCCCTGTGTATGGGCCTGAGTCCTCAGCAGGTTTCCCCAGCACCACTGATGCTGGAACATTTAAATGTCTGTAGGATATTAAAGACTGTAGGCCAGATTTTTAAATGTATTTACACAACAAACTCCCATTGGGAGGAACGGAGACACAAGACGCAACCAAAGTTTAACAATCCAGGTTGTATTAGCCTGAGAGAGGACCTGGACTGGATGCCTAGCTATACACTGGAACAGCTTAGAATACTGCTTGGTCTCTTGTTCGACTCCTGGCATTTCCATGTAAATATCTATTGGACACCGAGAACACGTATTGGCTTGATGCAAATCCAACTCTTCCCGTCAAGCTACAGGTCTTCCACCAGGGAAAGACAATTAGAACACTCAGACGTTTTTCCTAATGATGTTTTTGGCACGCGTGTGTCTATTTCAGCATCTGCATTACTTTGTGAACAGTTTAATAATGGCTTCCGCAGGCTGGCTAGGGCCCATTAACATTCATGGGGAGTTAGACACACATGTCGGGGAGGAAATGATCCTTTCAGGATTGGCAACACCCAGCACACATCAATAGGCATGCTGGCTTGAGTGTGCAATTCTTGAAGGAGGAAATGGAATTGGAATTGATCCTCCAGGGGGTCTACGTTACAATTCTCCTTCGTGATTATAAACTAACAAAGAGAATTTAGCTGGCAGCACAGGGACACTAGCAAGCCATGCTTCTTCAGGACCGCCCTTCAGAAAATGCTCTGGCTCATCTGTAAACAATGCCTAGAAACAGCACCAGCCATTCCAGCTTACAAACCTTCTGTAGTTGGAGTGCTCTTGGCGTCAGAGGCCTCGGATATGGGCTCATCTGATCCATCGTCAACAGGTATCTGCAGGGGATAGCCTGGAAAACACACCGTGAGCATTTAGAACAGGTTCTTGGCTATGTCTGTGTCATCTTACAGCATCAAAGCGTTTAAGTGCCAGCCACAGATTGAGTGATAGCACCAAAAAAAGCCCCTAGCAAAACCTGCTGAATAACGAATCCAGTGTAGAGCACAGCTAGATATAGCAAAACGTAAGAAGAAGGAAAAAAAACAGTTTGAAAACAAAAACTCTTTCCTTGGAGACCACAGACATCAGATTACATCAATCTGAGTGAGTCACTGTAGCTCACATTGATGTTTCTAGTGCAGTGTAGCCTTTCTGAGAGCAGACTGCTGAACTGAGAGCTGCTTTTCCTCCGTTATTTACGTTTCTAAATCAATGCAAATTGGGAACTCGCTTGCAAGAAATTCTTCAGCATTTCAGGTGGATTGTCCTGCCAGGCCTTGGTTATAAGACATCATCTATCAGGATGCTAGAGCAAAATGCACAGGGACACGCTTTACTGGGAGTTCCACCAACTAACATGACACAAACTGGAGAAACCAATTAAACAACGATTCGAGCTAACACAAGCGAAGTTTCTTGGACTCTTTGCTACGTGAGAATTCAAACGCTGGTTGAATAAGCAGCCCAGCCCCTGAAGAGCCTGGAAGGGAGAAGAGTCTAGGAGCATACCACAAGCTTTGCCCGTAACAGAGGGAACCATTTGCCTGATGCAATGTATACCTCAGGGCAGAAATTTCTTGCTCCACATTAATGCCGCAATGGACACGCTCCATCCCTATGACTACACAGGTTTCTAAGCTAGTTTGTCAATATGCAGGAGATTTCTTGAAAATGTAGGCCTAAAATATAGGGCTCTTTTGGAGAAATCTTCTGCCTGTCTCCCACTTCCCCAGCTTTTCCCTTGGTTGCCCTGGCTCACTACCCAAGAGAAGGAACTTGGAAAAGTCTGTTTCACCTCTTTTCAATTTCCAAGTGTCCTTTACCTTTTTCTCAGGAGCAGCTAGATTCTACGGCCTTTTCCAGATTTCACACACTCTACGGACTCAAGTGTTTTTTTTCCTATTGGAACTTGCCTTTGGATGCAAAAGAGAACCTAAGGCAGATGGGGATAATGATCATCGTCTAGACTGGCCTCGTGTTTAACAGGCAATAGGATCTCACCCAGTGATTCCTGCATCAAGCCCATAACTTCTGTTTGAGCTATAAAGCATCTGAGTGTATTGTACGTTTATCTCCAAGATGACAAAGCAACCCATTCACTGCATGTCGTCTCCACATCTAAGTAATTAACGAAATGGCCCCATTCTTCTAGACCCTCGTTTCTTAAACTGTGTTCCGCAGAACACCAGTGTTCTGCGGAGAACTCACAGGTGTGCTGCGGCCGTTTGAAGAAAAAAAAGTGGCCACAAGAGCTGAGACGCAGCGGGTGGTGCAAAGAGGTGAGCGAGTGGTGACGAGGCTGGAAATGAGGTGGGATTACCCGCATTCCTCCTCCTGTGCTTCCGCGGAAAGGGCAGACGAGGCGAGCAAGTGATGATGCGGCAGAAACGAGGCAGAAACGAAGTGGGGGAAAGCTCCGTGCCTCGGCTGCATCCCTTGCCAGAGGAGCGTTGCAGGGCCAGCTCTGATTGGCTGTCTCTGCTGCTGCTCTGGGGATCCTGTCTGCCAGGGAAGAGAACTGCCCTAAAGCTGCCACCCGACCGGGTATTTGCACCGCTGTCTTTAGCCCTTGCCTGTTACCCAGGACAGCTGAGGGGGGCCAGCACCTTCCACCCCCTTGCACAGACAAGATCCTTCCTTTCAATATTCTGTGTCAAAAATAACAGAGCCAGGGGCTAGAACTATTGAAGGACAAAACATTAAGCAGTAAGGGACCCACTATGAATTGGGGGGCACTGTAAGGCCCTCAGTGCCCCTAATGCTGGCATGGCTGCTATCAGTCAGCTGCTTGACATTAACCTGTGCTTGATAAGGTATTGAATTTATAATTTCCTCCAATATGAATAAACAGAGTAAATTACATTTCCCTATCAAAAAGACAGAAGTTTAGGGCAGTGAGAGAATATTGATGTCAGTAAAAGTGTTGAAGCAAAATGCAGGACAATGTAGCACTTTAAAGACTAACAAGATGGTTTATTAGATGATGAGCTTTCGTGGGCCAGACCCACTTCCTCAGATCAAATAGTGGAAGAAAGTAGTCACAACCATATATACCAAAGAATACAATTTAAAAAAATGAACAAATATGAAAAGGACAAATCACATTGCAGAACAGAAGGGGGATGCAGGGGGGTGGGAAGGGGGAGGAAGGAAGGTAAGTGTCTGTGAATTGCTGATATTAAAGGTAGGGAGAGTGGGATGTTTGTGAGTTAATGGTATTACAGGTGATAATTGGGGAAACTGTCTTGATAATGGGTGAGAAAGTTCAAAGACTTGTTAAGTCCCTGTTGGTAAGTGTCGAATTTTAACATGAATGACAGTTCAGAGGATTCCCTTTCAAGTGCAGATGTAAAAGGTCTTTGTAGCAGAATGCAGGTGGCTAAGTCATTTAGAGAGTGTCCTTTCTGGTTAAAGTGGCAAGAAACTGTTTTCTCTTTGTGATCTTGTCTGATATCTGTTTTGTGGGCATTAATCCTTTGGCGAAGTGTCTGAGATGTTTGTCCAATGTACATAGCAGACGGACACTTTCGGCACATGATAGCATAGATTATATTTCTGGATGCGCAGGAATATGTGTTCTTGATCTTATAACTCACTTGGTTAGGTCCAATAATGGTATCAGCAGAATGAATATGTGGACAAAGCTGGCAACGGGGTTTGTTGCAAGGGAAGGTACCAGGGTTGGTATTAGTGTGGTATGTCCTGTGGTGGTTGGTAAGAATCATCTTGAGGTTAGGTGGTTGTCTATAGGAGACTATGGGTCTGTCTCCCAGAGCCTCTTTGAGTATGGTATCCTGTTCCAATATAGGCTGTAGTTTATTGATAATGTGTTGGACAGGTTTAAGTTGGGGGTTGTAGGTGATGACAAGTGGTGTTCTATTGTTGGTTTTCTTGGGTCTGTCTTGAAGTAGATGGTTTCTAGGTATTCGTCTGGCTCTTTCAATTTGCTTTTTTATTTCTCCGGGTGGGTAGTTGAGATTTATAAATGCTTGGTAGAGATCCTGAAGCTTCTGGTCTCTGTCAGTGGGGTTAGAGCAGATGCGGTTGTATCGAAGGGCTTGGCTATAGACGATGGATCGTGTGGTGTGTTCTGGATGGGAGCTGGATGCATGTAGGTAACTGTATGAGTCAGTGGGTTTTCTGTAGAGAGTGGTGTCTAATTTTCCATTGTTGATTTGTACGGTGGTGTCCAGGAAGTGGATCTCTCGTGTAGAATGGTCCAGGCTGAGGTTGATGGTGGGGTGTAGGTTGTTGAAATCTCTGTGGAATATCTCCAGTGTTTCTTTCTATTGACAACCTCATTCCAGTCTCCTTGTACTGAGATCTCCCATCCTGCCATTCTCATTCTCCAGGAGAGGGGGAAAAAAAAACAACCCCTGCCTGGGGGCAAGGCGGAGTTCTTTTCAGTCTCCCATGACTATCCCCACCTGGGGAGGCTCACCTGATGGGATCTGCTTAGCTTGGCTCACCGAATGGTCTTCCATCATGTGGAGATCCTGACGCTGCTCAGCCGTCTTGTTGTAAAGGTTGTCTAAGTGGGGGGAGGAAAATTAATACTGTTACACACAACTTCATACAATGCACCGTCCTGTGCGCTCAAATTGTTGTATTCTTCCCTATCGCTTTGTGGTGCATTTTCCATCCAGCAGTTTATTTCCAGGAGACGTCATCTTTTCTCTTTTTTGAAGGGTGGGAAAGAAATCCGATGGCCCACAACAACTAGCTGCCTTGCAGGCTACTGGCACAGCTATTTGATTCATTCACTTTTTTGTGCGAGACTTGGGAAAAAAAAACCACACTATCACAACCAGAGACAGGTTGAGGTATGTGCTGAAGGCGGTAATTCCCTGGACCGACAGACAATTATGGCTGATGCCAACCACTGGTCTAGTGTATCCTACGCCCATCGGGGTTCTCTGTGTAGCCCGTGAGACATTTTATTTACTGCTGCCCATATGCAGGGTTGCCAGATTCCGCTGGTTTCAGTCTGGGCAGGATTTTTCTTACCAATATTACTCAAGCATCATGCACATGACCAAGGGCACGCGAAATGAGGTGCGTGCTGATAGCACACGTCTCCCCACTCAAAGTGCTGCTATGGCTCACTGGGCATGCCCTGCAATTTCTAGACATGCAAGTGCAGTTAGCAAAACTACCCTCTCCTGCGAGACCGTCTTGGTTATCACAACCCTGCGACCCCCTGAGATGAAGGAGAGCTACTCATATGGCCTACTCGCTAACCCAGGCTGCCCATTGCTGGGCTAGACTCTCCTGCCAATGCAAAAATATTCCCCATCTAGCGCCTCTCAATTTAGAAGCAAATGTTGTCCCCAGACTTTTAGTCTCTCACAGGGGTAAGAAAATCTTTTTTGGGTCAAGGAGCATTTCCAGCAGATCTAAGGAAGTGATTATTCCCCTTTATTTGGCTCTGGTGAGGCCACATCTGGAGTATTTTGTCCAGTTCTAGGCCCCCCACTACAGAAAAAATGTGACTGCATTGGAGAGGGTCCAGTGGAGGGTGACCAAAATGATGAGGGAGCTGGAGCACATAACCTACGAGGAGAGGCTGAGGGATTTGGGTTTATTTAGTCTGCAGAAGAGAAGAGTGAGGGGGGATTTGAGAGCAGCCTTCAACTCCCTGAAGGAAGGTTCCAAAGAGGATGGAGAGAGGCTGTTCTCCGTGGTGGCAGATGGCAGAAGGAGGAGCAGTGGTCTCAAGTTGCAGTGGGGGAGGTCTAGGTAGGAGAGTGGTGAAGCACTGGAATAGGTTCTCTAGGGAGGGGGTGGAATCTCCATGCCTAAAGGTTTTTCAGTCCCAGCTTGACAAAGCCCTGGCCGGGATGACTGAGATGGAGTCGGTCCTGCTTTGGGCAGAAGGCTGGACTCTGACTCCTGAGGTCTTTTCCAGCCCTAGGAATAAAATTCTATGATTCTGTGAGACCCAAAGAAAAATCATTTGGGGGGGGGGGGCACGCACACAAGTGAGAAGCAAAAACCCCCAAACAAAACACTCACTGACGTGACCCCCGGATGAGAAGGAGAAAGACACTCCCCATGTTCGCCTCACACACCAGAGCCTAGAGGGTGCCAGCCTAGTCGATTTTGTGTGCTCCAGCCCCATGGGGGGCAGCAAGGAGGGTGAAGTGCCAGCATGGGCTCCCCAACTCTGGGGATGGTCCTAAGCCTTGGGGGCCAGATCCAGGCAAGCTGGGGGGCAGCATCTAGCCCCTGAGTCTTAGGGTCCCCAACCCATATCTATCAGAACAGCAAGGGAAAAAAACAAAAAGCATTAAGATGGCATTTAGGATTCTGAAATGGCTGACAGACTGGGAAAGGCTCTTTAAAAATCTCTCACAGTTGCATCAAGTTATAGGCATAGAGATCAAAGCAACTGCAATCCCAATTAGAGAGCAATAACTTCACTGGCGGAAAGAAGCTGAAAAGGAAAAGCTTTTGTGAAACCATTCACTAGATGAATATTCATGACCAAAGTGAAGAGCGAATCCATTTTTGCACAAGTCATCGGCAACATAATACCAAGCCAGCAGTCCCATGCAACAAACCGAGGACACAGGCAACGTCACACCTAATTCTAGGGACATTAGCTTACAATCATGTAAACGATTAATTGATAAGTAGCTTCAAACCCCAGTCTCCGTCTCTCAGATGTTCCCACAATACAAGTAAATATTTATAACAACCATGCCTAGTTGTGTAGCTGCTTTGTAGCTAGGAATAACCTAGTAGTCTAGTCACAGAATTGGGCTTTCCTGTGAGAAGACAGGAAATGATCAGATAGAAGATTTTTACCTTGACTTTTCTTCACAAGAAAAGTCCACGGATTCCTTACAGTCCCAGTGAGCTCCCGCTCCAAAGTACTTAGAAGTAGCGAAACTTAAGGACAAACTAATCATATGTCCTTAAGAAACAGTTTGTGAGATACGACAGCCAAGAACAAGGTGCAAAGGAAAAGAAGGATCCCGTTTAATGTGTGGTATATATGGGTGTGACAAAACTACCTAGTTCTGCAAAGCAGAGACTAGGATTCTACTAACAGATGTATTGAAGCATAAGCTTTCGTGGGCAAAAACCTACCCCTCAGATACTAAGATTCTACTAACACATTTCCACTAAAGGTGATGTTGATTTTGTGATGGCTGTAGAGGAACTAAGGACAGTGATTAATAACCAGCTATAGTGTAATCCCATGTCTACCACAACTGGAAAGGAAGCTGAAACCAACCATATTGCTCAGGTTAACAACAGGAAGGAAGTGAGCCATAAATTAACTATTTTTAGAACTGAATGAAGGATCTCAACTCTCAGTCACTAGATCTTTTACCCAATTCCGTCCCCGCCCTCCCCTCCACACACACACACACTGGGAAGAGGTCTATGCAATTTAGTTTCTGCTTTAAACTACAAAATCATTTGACTGCATGAAATACATGGAAAATCTTCAAGAATTTGCCCTGCAAAAACTCACAAAGTGAAAAAAGCCACAAGAATTGATGTTTGAAGTGGACAGAAGAGACCAAATCTGTTCCTTAGACTAAAAAAATATTAGTGGTGTTTTGCCCACTAATAATAAACAAACAGTTCTAATTATCTGGCCATATGGGCCAACCCCTTTCTGGAGCTGGTCCCAAAAAACTAGCCCTCCCTGCAGAGAACAGTTTAGCGAAGACAAAGTACTGGGAAATCTGCACATCCATAGTGCACATCCTAATATGCTGCCTCTATTCGGTGCACAACTAGTCCCCACAGCTCAGCCTGGAACTTCATCAGCATCGTGCTCTCGGAGAAAAATCAATCCACATGGCCACCACACGGAACCACAGAGAAACCCCACAATTTGGTGAACAAGCCGGAAAGAACGCCCGACAAGGAATGATATTTACTGTAGTTCTCCCAGCAAAAGTTTAAAATATGAAGCCCATCCTGGAGCAATTACATACACTAGGAAGGCAATGAACTGTAGCAGCAATAGATTTTGCTCACCTCTGCTGCATTGTTTTCCCCACCACTAGCCCAATTTTGCTTATTCTGCTTCCTCAACTACAAGCACTGCCGACTGCAATACGCACACAAGCCCACAAATGTCTGCAATGTAACCATGACCTTCCCATTCCTGCAATTCGAAACAAGATGCACACCCCCCAAACTCATCTGTGCTCACGATGCATCTCATTGTAACCAAGGAAATCCAGCATCACTCGCCAATTAGGTGAAAACCTCAATGACTGAATGGAATTTACTTAAAAAAAAAGTTACTTGGCTCTAGCCACCAAATGGCCCATTTCAATACAGATTCCTTAAGCCAAAGTGGCGCCAAAGTCACTCGCTTATCGCAAGCCATGCAGATTGTCATAGTATGGAAATACGGCCTATCAATACGGTCTCCATCTCAGTTAATTTCATCATAAATAAAAGTTGTAGAGAGTCGAGTTTTTTTAAACATAAGCGAAAGCAGCCCTACCTTGACCCAAGGGCTCCAGCAATGAATAATTGGGTCGCAATGTGTCTGAGTGGTTAAACTTTCAACGGACAGGCACACTCTTAAGGGCCTTATCTGTTTCCAACAGATCCCTCTCCTGCCAAGCCAGGCACTTATCTAAACAAACAGCCTGTCCCACCCTTGACAGCACTTCAGGGTTCTTCACAATTGTGCATACTTCACAATTTGGATGTGCCTCTAAGACGCAGGGGCAACTGCCGGGTTATAGCTACGTTGGGGGGGACAGTACAGGCAGTTGTGGTGTCCAGGTTTTATTGCCATGAGTTAGGGATGGCTTGGCATTACTCAACAGCTGAAGCATTATTTGAAGGGAGCTACCCAGGAGCCAATAAAACCTCTAAGTGACACTTTTACAATTACTGAAGTGGGGTGGGTGGGTTTCTATTTAAACCAATGCAAGTATTTTCAGTGTCTTTCTGCTGATAAAAGCAGGTCGAGTGGCAGGAATTGAAACTTCCGAGGGAGAGGTGAGTTATAACATTCAGAAACTTCTAGAGGCCACATTAGCAGCTTAGCCATTCACATCACGATGCTAAGAGCTGGTACGGAAACAACTTCCTGGACAAGAACCTTGGATAACTTCCCCTTCCCAGCAATAACAAGGGTTACAAGCTGCCAGCCGTGAAACCTGCCACTGGCCTAAGACAGATGACTGCCCCCCTCTTCCCTTCATTTTGAAAGGGAAAGAAACATCCCTTCCGCCGTTTGCTTTGTTGAAATGACTGCAGTTTGTGGCAGCCTCAACATGAAACGGGAAGCCAGTGGATATGGATCAGCAGTCTAAGCATTGTGGAGTGCTGAGCGACACTTATTAAAAGGATACTGCAGACAATGATGAAGTTCTCATCCACTACAGTATGGATTTAAACTCAGTTCTGTTGTAAGGAGGAGCAAGCGTGTTTGAATAGCAACTCCATAGCTGAGCCAGGTCCAGTCTCACTAAACAATTCATCGCACGCTAAAAACTGTATTAGTAGGAGCAGTAACACACATTTCTACAGTGCCTTGCACCC